TCCTTAAAAAATTTCGCGAAATAGAAGAGATGGACGACCAGCTACAACCTCAGACCCCCTTCCTTCCTCCACCCCTACCCCAACCGTAGTAAGACTTTCAGGCTATTGCGATGATTAATTCTGGAGCATGGATGTTAATTTCTGTGGGAGATTGAACAGCTCGTACTACGTGTGAATCACTGTCTAACACAATTGCAGACGGCTATGAGAAGGGCATCAGAAACACATATCAGTATAATATGGAACAAGTAGGATCAGCTGCATTGTATCAACTTACTTCAGCATTGGCATCCAGATTTTCTAGCTCATCCCACGAGAACAGAAGTGCCTCGGTGGGTGGTCCAAAAACGTTGAAATCAATCAAAGTTANAAAGTTATGGGACTATTGGAACTGTGAGGCTGATGAAGCTCATAGCTAGAGAATTCACAGGACTTACAGAAGGCTCGCGATAAAGATCGATTGTGTCTGGAGGACAATGTGGATCAACAGTCGATTACTGAAATATCGGAATGACTTACAGCTGTCCAACGGGAACTGATTTCGGATATGCTTGGTGAAAAATTTGACAAAGTCTTGCTTGATTACATTCGTATTTTGGATCACCGTGGGGAAGTGGACATCATGAATTCGTTGAGAGATGGCTGAACAAAGCGAACATAAAACGCGGATAGTAAGACAATGCGTGGTACGGGAAAAATACGAACACAAGAAATACCGTAATCGTCAAAAACACTCATAAAACTGAGGCAAACATTTTTAGCGAGATGGGCGCTGATGTGACCTGGAATTCCACGTAATAAACGTGTACGTTCCACTAATATGGTAAACAATATTTGTGTTGAATCAAGCAGTAAAATTCAAACCGATTGGCGAGTACGCCAATAGGACAAAAGAATCTATTTTATTACATGTTATAACACACACAGAATGTGGCAAGCGTTTACTAGTCTGGAGTTTAAAGGAACAAAGAATTCATACAGAATCAGATATAAAATCGGAACGGATGTCTTTGAAGAAATTGCGCATCGCGCCCGTAGTATTAGATCTGCATAGATGTTTGGGTGGTTAGCCACAACGGGAAGACACCAAAAGAAACAACTTTCGGTTAACGACGTTTCTATCCTCTTGTAATACCTTTTTACGAGTCAATTAACAAGCAAGCATTAAACAAAAGCTGTAAAACTGTATCAAATGGAGATGTTTGATTGGGCTAGGGGAAGGAAATTTCGTATTTGCATGTGTGCATGCGTGTGGTAATAAATGAGATCATGGAAGTTGTGAATGAACAAGAGATCAAAGAGCTGAGAATGACATCACAGATGATGGAAAATTAGTCTGTGATAAGCTTTGTGCTATAGCAAGATTTAATGTGTGCATAGGTGTGTGGGAGGGTTGTGCAACTGTTATCAAGTAAATTAATAATTGGGGCCCGTCCGATCGATTGATGCGAAGTAGATCGTTGTTGATAAATGCCTCAGGAACCAGCCGTTCTCTATATCACCGGAAATCTTGTTTCAAAATCCATAGTTTCCCTCAGAAACAGAATGCAGAGAGACAGCTGAGTCCCTCTCAGAGGTCCTAAACTTCAATGTACTTCTTGAAGAGTTTTTGGAGTTTCTGTCACATTTGGTTACCCGTTTCTCTAGTTAACTTTTTTGTTCAACATACGTGTCTGGAGTTTGTATACATATTATCTGGTACATGAGATTCAATTAATCAGTTTGTATTCGTTCATCCTTAAGTTGCATCAAAAGGGAACAAAGGGTGTTCGTTACCCGAAATGAGCCCCGTATATTGAAACGGTTCAAGATTCGCTGGTGTATTGTGGCGATAAGTTGCGATCCAATCTGTCCTTTTGACTTCAGGCTCTGTGGAACTTTTAAGGCTTCTGCGAATTTTCTGTAAAAATCTGAGCAGATATGCGTTATCTGACAACTTTCTAGCGACGGGCTGAATTTCAGTGCATTTCTCCTTTTTGTTTGAGGCGAACGGGTTTGCTCTGGTTAGTAGGTTCGTCACCACAGTAGCCTTCACATTTATTGCATGGTCAGCGAAGTAGAATTAATATCTGCTAGTGTGTTGGCCTTCTACACACGGATACTGATAAGTTACTATAATCACTGAAAGTTGTTTGGCAGTCTAAGAAAAAACTCTTAGACTGTTTAGTTTTTTCTCGCTTTTTTATTGTAAACTTTGTTTTTGTGGAAGTGGTTGATGAAATGTGTGAAAGAGTTGAAACGTCGTCAACAGAAAGTTATTTTTTGTTTTCTCTCGTGGCGGCTAATCCAAACATTCCTCTACGGATCTGATGCATACAATACCTCAGTTGTCCCGCTATAGAGAAAACTGTCACAGAAAAGGCGCACAACGATAGATAGAGAAATTCCGCAGCTTCGCTTACCCACCATTTTTTTCTTGACCACGAAACAGCGGAATTCGCCCTCAGGCTGCATATCTAACCAGCGTCGCAGTACAAGCACGGGTTTGAACTCCACCGGCGACCTGCAAGCATCTATTTGCAGCGGGGCATCTGAGCACAAAGCGAACCTAAATGTGGTGCACGTCGTTCCCGAAGTAAAGTGAGGTAATTTATTATCATTTAAAATAACTGGTGGTACATGGACCAAGACAAAACTGACATTAAAAGCCAGGAAACACTCGTTTCTTTTTGTGCGCTGAGCGACAGTACTACACCTTTTCCCATCAAGTTTTAGCCAAAACCCGCAATCCTTTAGCCTTGACCTACATTCCTTTAGCCAAAACCCACATTCCTTTAGCCTTGACCTACATTCCTTTAGCCAAAACCCGCAATGCTTTAGTCACGACCCGCAGTCCTTTA